GGGAGGTGGAAGGGCGAGTGGAGGAGGTCCGGTGGGTCGAAGATGGTAAAGGAGTGAGTGGAAGGTGAGAGAGGATGTCAAAAAGTTGTAATAACGAAAAAAGTGAAAATACGGTGAAATAGAGTAGCGACGGGGATGGGTGGTGGTACCAGGGGAAGGGGCGGAGGAAGGAGGTCCGGTGCGCCGAAAATGGTGGAGGTGAGAGTGAAAGGTGAGAGAGGATGTCAAAAAGTTGTAATAACGAAAAAGAGTGAATTACAGCGTAAGAGAGGGGTGGTGGAGGTGGATGGTGGGTGGAGGGGGGGAGGCGAGTGGAGGAGGTCCGATGAGCCGATGATGGTGAAGGTGCGAGTGAAAGGTGAAAGAGGATGTCAAAAAATTGTAATAACGAAAAAGATTGAATTACAGCAGAAGAGAGAGGAGGTGGGGGTTGGTGGTGAGGGAGGGGGTGAGGCGAGTGGAGGAGGTCTTGTGGGCCAAAGATGGTGGAGGTGCGAGTGAAATGTAAAAGAGGATGTTAAAAAGTAACATTTCACTATCCGTCAACGATATTTTTAAATTCTGACGGACAGACAGACAGACACACAGACAGAGAAGGAGACGTTTCTTAATTTTTCATTAAAATCATCACTTTTCGACCGCTTGTATCTCCAGAACGGCTTGACCGATTTAAAATTTTTTTGTCTCGAATTACTCGTGGCGATGCCGCTTTTCAGGACATATGACGTTCAATTCAAAATTTTATATATTTTAATAGTTATGCACCTCCCAATAATGGACTTTGATGGCTCGGGATAAGAGACTTGTAGCGTCTCACAGTTTTTTTTAACATGGCCGGAGACGCTACCGCGTCTCCTGATATCACTTTTCAGTTGACGAAATATTTAACGAGATATTAGACCTTAAATATAACCAAATAAGCGCGTTCGGCCTATTACTGCCAAGCGTGTACGCCTCTCAATCGCTCTCTACGCGCGGAGGTCGCGAGGCGCGGAGATAGGCTGGCAGGCGCGCCGTTCAAGTCATGACGTTTGGGAGCTAGCGGCGGTGTGCGCGGCGCGGGCGGCGGAGCGCTTGCCAACCAATCCCCTCTTCGCGCGGCTAGCCATCGCGATAGCGAATATTCGGCGCTTCAGAAATTAATATTTTGACTGCGAAAATCAGGAAATGATAGAAATCTTTTTGAGAACTCAATTTAGTTCGCTCTAAAGCGTGTACATGCCCGTGTACATACAGAAAAATATTATAAATATGAATTGTTTTAAATAAATAATAAGTGTATTTTAAAAAGGTACTTGATAATTGTACCGACAACGTTTATTAATAAGATAGAGCGGACTAAACTGAATCGAAAAGCCTTTTATCAGTAATTTGTAATTTTCGCAACAGTTAACAAGATATTAATTACTAAAATATTAATTTTCAAGAATTTTTTACTCAAGTACTATCAACTTTACAGAAAAACAGCACAAGAGATAAAAATTGTTTATTTTCTTTTCATAAAGCTCTGGGAATTTTTTCAGAATTTTTTAGTACCGTATTTTCTCATTTTGATAAAAACAGTTGTTAATAAAAAATGCAGCACTAAGAAGGTTGATAAAAAATTATGAAAAAATTTCTAGAATTTTATGAAAAGAAAATAAACAATTTTTGTCTCTTGCTGTTTTTCTGTAAAGTTGATAGTACTTGAGTGAAAAATTCTTGAAAATTAATATCTTAGTTAATTAATATCTTGTTAACTATTGCGAAAATTACAAATTACTGGTAAAAGGCTTTTCGACTCAGTTTAATCCTCTCTATCTTATTAATGAACGTTGTCGGTACAATGATCAAATACCCTTTTAAAATAGTACACTTATTTATTTAAAACGATTCATATTTATAATATTTTTCTGTATGTACACGGACACGTATACACGCTTTAGAGCGAACTAAATGAGTTCTCAAAAAGATTTCGATCATTCCCCAATTTTCGCAGTCAAAATATTAATTTTTGAAGCGCCGAATATTCGCTATCGCGATGGCTAGTCGCGCGAAGAGTCGGGATTGGTTGACAAGCGCACCGCTGCCCGCGCCGCGCACACCGCCGATAGCCCCCAAACGTCATGACTTGAACGGCGCGCTTGCCAGGCCGTCCCGCAGCGTCCCGCGGCCCGCACGCCCATCGGGGCGTTCTGTAGGCGTACGTTCAATGGTGTGGTAGGTCGAACGGACGCGCTAATCTTTAAAAATTAATGTCTCGTTAACTATTGCTGCAATCTCAAAATGGTACAGGACTTTTCGATTCAGTTCGGTCTACTCTACCTGCTCATGATAGGTGATTCGCTCGATTAATAACACCCTGTATAAGGTTATATTTCGATTTTCATTACCTATAAAACATCTAAAGTGCTAAAAATCTATAATGCACGTAATGTATACTATAAATTTTTAGTATCAGCAGTAGTATATTTGGTATATTTATTACCATATTTAGTATTGATATTCAAACAAAGCGCCTCGCACAATTTTCAACATGGCTGACTGTAGGACACATAGATCAAAGGTACCAACACGGAGTGAAACTATTGTACTTACTTATACTGTGACGATGTTTAGATTAAGTTAAATTAAATGTAGCTAGTACGCCTGTATCAAATAAAAACACTCAATGTTCTACAACCGCATTTATAGCTATAGTAATTAATAACGTGTCCAATCGTATGCAAAGTAATGATAAAAGTAACTGTAAATTTCGTTACCGTTATCCAAAAAATGTATGTTCGGTATTTGTAAAGTTGGCGCGTGCCATATTTACCGGTCGCGTTGTCTTTTGACCAATAGCGTGGCTGACCACGGCTGCCAGCACTTTCTTAGCGTTCGCGGCGCGCTCACGGCTCTTCGGCTATCTTCGAACGCCGTTCGTTCCCTCTCTTCGCGCGAGTCCTGCGTGATCCTGCCATTACCATTTTGTTACCGTTACGATTACGATCCTCGCAGCAGCAACGTGCGCGTGCAGTATAATAAAGTTAAGTAAATCTTTAAGTGCCGTGTGTATCATTTGGAAGATCCTTCCGCAGTCCCATCAATAATTAGTGGCCGCAAATCCGTTGTGGGCGACAGCCTATTTAACTGCAGAGGAATACATATTCCTCGACCACGCTTCCCGAGAGGACACATACCGGGAAAACGCGTGGGGCCAGCCTTCGCAACATCATAACGCGAGGCACGGCCATTCACACAAAACAATGTAACTACGTTACCGTTACAGTTACCAAAAAGCGCTTCTACACAAAGTGCTTCTTTTTCAAGATGTCGTCTTGTACAACGAATGCATAACGAATGAACGAACGCACGAGACGAACTAACCCGAACTAGAATGAAGAGCCCCCTCTTCCTCAACTAACGCAACGATACAAACATAAAGGAGACAATTCTCTACATGCCGCTCTCCCTTGAAAGAACATTTTCAACACAAATTAATTAATAAAACTTAAAAGCTATATCTATAGCCGACAGATCCCTTACTTCAGGTTCCCTAAGGGATATATTAATAACATATAAGTAGTAAATATGTATATTATAGTAGTAAGTATTAGATAAACAAAATAAAAAAAATTTAATCTTTGGGTAAGGCACAAATTCTTTTTGAGGTTTTTAAAAAAATTCTTGTTGCAGTATGAATGGTCACTACTCTGACTATTTTATCATGACCCGGATATGTTTCTTCAGTACGCCCAAGGCTCCATATTAAGGTGGTTTGGTACACGATGCTAGTCAAAGTAATATCTTTTCATTTTTATATTTAAAAGAAGATAGGAATTGTTTTCACTAAAATAAAAGGGCCCGTTTTTAAATAATATTGCTTATTTCGAAACATGAATATTTGGGAATAATAGAAGTTTCAAGAAAAACGGTATTATTTTGATAAACGTAGCCTTTTCACAGTTCGAGATGTGGCAACCCCGCATGAACAGACGATGCGGGGAAATGATCGGTGCGCCGTACTCCACAACAGTTGCAACGTTGCCACGTCCTCTGTATCGCTCACGGTGAGGAAGAATGTACAACCAACTACTATTTTTCAATTAATAATACTCTGCAACCGTACGGTTAATCACATCGTCTTTGAAGAATTACGATCCCTGAACACTGAAGTAATTTTGATTTGTTTTTGAACTAAATCCTTATTGTGCATCAACAATTATTAAAGAATATATTTCAAGTTGTCCGTTTTTCGGTCGCAGCGGCCATAAGCGCAATGCTAAATATGCAGAAAAACAGTGAACTTTGAAGAGGAATATCTCGAAAACTACACGGTAAAGGTCACTGAGCTTCAACAAAACTGTGTATTAATATATTATTTAATTTTTATGAAAATTTCAAAAGATTCTGTAACATTACTGATTTTGACCAAACCACCTTAATGGTGGCATATTATCTTCTATTAATAATACCAAATCACCCTTTTCTAATTGATTATCTCCCCTTTGTCAGCGAGTTCTAATTTGCAACTGGTGTAAATATTCTTTCTGTTATCGTTGCCAAAAATGCTGGCGTATTTTTTGAATATGCTGCCATCTAGTTAGATGATTAGTTGCGTCTCCAGGTAATTCCTCTCTGCTACTCCTTGCAAAGGTGCTTCAATTAAAAAATGCGCCGGTGTAAGAGGTGTTAAGTCATTCGGATCCGCTGATAAGGCTGTCAAAGGTCTACTGTTTAACACATCTTCGATTTCAACTAATAGCGTATAGTATACTTCGAACGTAAAAAGTAATTCTTTCATAGCGATCTTAAGATATCTTTTTGCACTCTTGACCGCAGCTTCCCACAGTCCTCCAAAATGTGGCGAACGTGGTGGAATAAAATGCCACTGTATCTCTTGTACAGCTAACTGTGATGCGATCTGATCCTTTTCTTTGCGTAGAAACTCATATATTTCTTTCAACTCTTTTGATGCACCCACAAAATTAGTGCCATTATCCGAGTAAATGTGCATGCACGTTCCACGTCGGGCGCAAAAGTGTCGAAATATTGCCATAAAGGCTTCCATAGTCAGGCTGCTCACCAGTTCGAGATGCACTGCTTTCGTCTTGAAGCATATAAAAACAACTACTGTTTAAATCTGTTTAGATCTGTTTAAAATACGAATTCGAATAGACAAAATCCAATCCATTTTAATCCATTCTCGGATGCTGGGCTGTTATCACGTCATCCATATAGAAATCCTGCATCAAGGCTTCTGCGGCTGCCGGCTTCGTGATAGCTTCCGGTTGTGTCGCAAGATGTCGTAGGCAACGCATTGCCAAGTACGGCAACCAGAAGTTGTTCCGTATGTTATGGTTTTCAAGATGTATGTTTGAATAGCTTCTGTTGGATCTTGCCTCCATACGATCCTTTGTAAATCTCTATCTTTCTCTGCTACCCATGTCTGCCTAAACATCATTTTGATGTCCGCTGTTATTACATGCTGATGTAATCGGAATCTTAGTATTATGCTCCACAAATCTTGTTGAAGGTTAGGTCCACTTAATAGCCTTTGATTCAATGCTGCTCCTGTTGACGATTTCGAAGAACCATCAAAAACTACTCTTAATCTTGTTGTCACACTATCGTTCTTTATCACTGGATGATGAGGTAAATAGAATACTTCCTTCGTTGTATTATAATCCGAAGATGTAACTAATGACATGTGTCTTAATTCCTTGTACTTTTTCAGAAACTGATGGTATTCCTCTTTTAATTGTGGCTGTTGACTGAGTTTTTTCTCTATTGCCAGAAATTTTTTGATCGCCGTGCTTTCTGAGTCATCTAGTATAACAGTGTCATCTTTAGGCAAATGTACGATGTATTTACCGTCTGCACCTCTCTTTACTGTTTGTAAGAAGAATTCTTCAACCCCTTGCTCTTGAGCTGAACATCTATGCTCCAACCTCTTTGTTTGTACTTCTTCTTGCTGCTAGAATCTTTCTACCTGATGATTAAGGGGATGCTAAAGTCGTCCTGTTTTATCATGATATTCTATTTAAAGAGAAAGATCTGAATTGGCTTTACGGATTGCAAAATCCTTTTACAAAATAAAAGTACGCACAAAAAACTATACTGGAAACCCTAATTTCACTAGAAAATCGGAAAAAAATTCACTTTTTCTGACACGTGTCAGACAGCTGTCACTTGAGGTTAACATTCACTTAATATAAAAGTTTTAGAGATCGCAGATTGCAAATAAGCGTCTTGCAGTATTGAAATGATTTGTACGAACAATCCTGAGTTTGCGGAACCAAGATTAAATGCGTAGACAAAAATATTCCTTTTCAAATAGAAATCACGATCTATGCGAGGATCGGAACGTCAACAGAACAGAAATTACGTTTAGAAGTAGTTGCGCCGTCGGCCGCCGTCTTGAAATAGATGGCGTTGTAGCTCTGGCGATTTGGGCGACCTTGTCGTGGTGCCAGAGCTCATCCGGAGGTCCCTTGAGGGACTCCGGGTGCTAACAACCCAAAGTACGGAGTTTTCCGATAAATAGGAAGACTCTGTACGCGGGGTCCGGTACCCCAAGGTGATGGGAGAACGCGCTGGCGCGGTCCCATCACTGGGGGACTTGTCTGCTGGTAGGACTTGTCCCCAATGTGCCGGTAGGAGAAGGCGACTCCGACTTCAAACGCCCGGTGACCAGGCGCCGATAGGGGGACAGAGGTTCCCTGCCCTGGGAGGGAGGTCACTCGCTGGCCTTCGTCCCCTATGCTGTGGAGCCCTCGCCCGTCCCGTCGGGGACGGGAGGGTCTCTGCGGCATGGGGGGCGTCAAGAAGCGACGGGGGTGCTCCCCCAGGTGGGGACTTCCACGGCTGGGTGCTCCTGGCCGTGGATAGTCCCCAAGTCAAGGGATGGGGAGGTAGCCCTTTTCAGGGCTATCTCATTGCACGATGGCATAGGGGTGGCGATGCGGGGACCGGGTTGCACCGGGACCCGCGTTGTTGCCTACCACTCCTGGGTGTCGGGGGGCAGTTGGCTGCGGCTGACTGTGGACCCACGTTCAGGGTAGCACGGGCTTGAGCCTGGGTCCCCGGGTGCGTCTCCTGCCAGCTTTGGCTGGGGGAGGGATCCCGGGGATGGCGGACCTTACGTATGGACTGATGACTGGACTTTTTGACAGTACAAGACGAACTTGCACTGACTGACTGACAGACGTATTTACATACAGACTATACTACCATGCGTGGTTCTGCTGGATCTGCTCTTGTTGCCTGGTGCCTTGAGCTAAAGTAAACGAAGGAAGTAAATGAGAAGTGGAAGACAGGGATCACCCCCCGCTATACGGGTCCATCTCCCAGGAGTCTCCCAAGGAAGAAGATAGAATAAAGAGGACTAAGCTAAGGACAGGGATCACCCCCGCTATGCGGGTCCATCTCCCTGCTCTTTAGAGAATACAGACTGACAGTCTTGGACCAACATCCGTCCATCGATGGAACAACTACGAAGGAAAACGTAACCCGGCGCTGGTGGACCGCTTGTAAAATAGTCCACTAATCTTAAACATGAAATATGAAGTCTAATAAGGAGGAAAACGTCCCGATTCGGATGCGGGAAACCGGCATGCGGGGGGCTATTGTCCCGGGTCCCCCCCTGTCGTTGCATATTGCTAAATCATGCGTCGGGCCACCCACCACCTGCACCGCAGGGGTGATGGGAGAACATATGCTTGCGAAGCCCTCGGGTTCAGGGTACGAACCCGTGAAGACCAAGTTTTATATTCCCCTTCGGCTGAAGGGAGGATCCTCAGGAGATGACATAGGCAAGGATGAGGACTCGAAGAAGAAAGACTCACCGACTAAGACCAAGACGGTGACTGGAAGAAAAGCGGAATCTGAGATGTCCTTCTCGTACGTAGAGGAAGACCTAGAGAGCCTTACAGATTATAGTGAAGGTAGCCGCGAAGACAGTAACAAGGATGGAAGCTTCTTTCGTAAGCCAGGTCCTCGCTTGAAGACCATACCTCAACAAAGACAGAGGAAAAGAGCTACGAGAAGCTCACAAAAATATGTCATCTCATCGGATGATGAAATAGATAGTGGTGGTCCTCCAGAAAAGGCCGCTCTTGTGGCGGAACAAAGCTCCGCTGAGACCTCCAAGAAGAGCACAGGAAGACCTGCAAAGACAGGAGTGAGTCTCTCGCAAGGAAGTCTTGAAAGGGACATCTCCAGACGGGATATCCTAAAGCAGATCAACGATGAAGAGGAAAGGCGACTCGAGCTACAAAGAGAAAGTGTCATGAGAAAACTTGATAAACAGGGACTTCTGAATAAGAAGTCCATGAAGCTGGATAGTAATGCTTTCGAACAGAAGGCTGAGAGTATGCCTTCCGATGACATACTGAACAACGTAGAGGAACATCAGTTAGATGTAATAAGAGCGGCGAGGACGTCCCGAAACTTAAAGGGAACATATAAGAAGTCGCTCCAAATGAATGCTCAGGCTACTATCCTTTTCATGAAGACGCTTCGTGAAAGGAACGAAGCCACTAGAGATGAGACGGCAGGTAGAGAAATCTTGCTTCTTCGTCAAGAAATCTCTTCCCTAAAAGAGAGATTGCACGGTGAAATTGAGCTGCAAAAAGCCAAAACCAGAACAGCGGAAGAAATGGTTACAATCCTCGAAAGAGAGGTTTTCGAACTCAAGAGAAATGCGCTAAGTCTAAGATCACACCAAGTCTAAGGCGATAATGGAACGTGAGAAAGAAATCGATGAAGCGATCGCCAGGAAGAGATCTCTGCGGCCTAGTCAATCGACCAATTTGTCGCTAGAAACAGATGTCACAAACACTAATGTTCAAGTACATGACATGGAAGTTAATGAAGATGTGACCCCATCACTCATGTTAAACCTTCCACCAATGGATGAGTGGCCTGCACCCAACTGGCCTTCGGGTTCAACGGGAGACAGACGAAGTAAGGTATCCATAACAACGAACTGCTGTCTGACAGCCAAAAGTTTGAAGTAAACGACGGCAAAATAGTTATGAAAAAGTGCCTTTTAGATAAATTAGAAGAGGAAACACGAAACGCTGTCAAGAATGTGAAAGACAACCAGAAGAAATCCCAGCTTGTTCAACAGCAAAAGGGAAAGGAAGTAAAGGGTCCTTATGAACAGAAAGAGGCTTCAAACCTTAAGGATTTTATAAGGCAAGTCATCCAAGAAGAGTTTGGTATGACAAGAAGAAAAGATACGAGACAGGACAGTCCTGCACCTGCAAGATCAAGGAACAGGAAGAATACCACTGCGAGTCGAGGACGTTCAACCACCTGACTGCAGATCTGCAGTCTCCAAACCACAGAAAACTGTGGCAGACAACGCGAAAAGAAGACGACCTGTTCCAAGTTCTGGCCTTCCAGTTTCCAGAGGATCTTCGCAAAAACGTTCCTCACAAGCTGGTCAGGAGGAGATTCCATGGTCAAAGGTCGTTGGCATTAGGGAAAAGAGAGAGACGAAAAGGGGTGAAAAGCTTCCCCACAGGAACACCTTCTCTGTTAAGCAAGTGGAGACTTAAAAGAGGAAAAAGCCTCTTAGGACTTCTGTCGTCCAAATACAGGTCGCTGAGGAAGACAAATATGCGAGCACTTTGAAGCATGCTCGAGAGCATATAAACATAAATGAGCTCGGTATCACCGAACTACGATCGCGCAAGGCCAAAACAGGTGCCTTCCTAATAGAGGTCCCTGGCGCTGACAATGAGATGAAGGCTGATAACCTTGCTGAAAAACTTCAGCAAGTCTTTCAAGGTAGTCAAGAAGTTAAAATTACTCGGCCTATTAAAACAAGTACGCTGAGAATTATGGATCTAGACGAGTCTATCTCTACAATGGACGTACTCACGGTACTGGCCAACACTGTAAAATGCAACCCTTCAGACATACAGATGGGATCAATCATTAAATCACGCAATGGCCTGGGATCCATACTCGTCAAATGCCCGATAAGGATCGCAAACACCTTGGCGGACAAAAAGAAAATCCAGATGGATTTGCGCACGCATCTCTCTCCTATCTGAAAGAAGAATGCAGTGCTACCGATGTCTAGACTTTGGACACGTAGTGCAGGAATGCAAAAGCACTATCGATAGGAGTCGTGAGTGTTATAGATGTGGTGGCTCTGGTCATCAGGCTCGAAATTGCACCAATCCGGCCAAATGCTCGATTTGCGAAGCTGACGGAGCTCCGTATAATCACAGGATGGGTGGCAAGGCTTGCGATCCCATGAGACGCAAACCTAAAAATACTTCTCAAAGGAGTAAAAGTGCGGTAACACACTTCAAGACGGCGATTTTGAGTGTGGTTCCCCAAGACACGACGACACCACCGATCGTTGATGGTGAAACGAATAAGGGAAGTCTACCAACTTCTCACAACAGTAGACATTCTCCCGCTAGGGACAACATTGAGAATATCGAGGTTGAATCTCTGGATGATGGCATTCAGATTGGCAACGAGAAACAACCTCTCTACGACACGCAGCCTATGGATGACGCGCAAGATCAGACGAAAAGTTCCTCTCCTCCTGTTGACACGGGATCTCCAGCCCCGTTAGATTGGACGCTAGAATGCGAGGAATCCGCGGAAACCACCTCGTGGATAACAAACACGGCCTTAGAACAACGGAAGGCAATACCGCCGTACGCCCCAGTGATGCCTAACAACGTCATTCAATGTAATTTGAACAGGGCTAGAAACGCACAAGCCTTACTTGCGCAATCAATGATTGATCTTGATATCGGTTTGGCTCTCATCTCGGAGCCACACAGAGTTCCTGATCACCTTTACTGGATTGGTGACTTGCTGGGGAACGCAGCAATCCACTGGAGGAGAGGCTTACACTCTCTTCCCTTCATAAAGGTGTATGCAGGAAACGGCTTTGTTACTGCAAAATGGGGAGATCTATTTGTGACCAGCGTTTACATATCTCCAAATGTCTTACTAACGGATTTCGAGGAATTCCTGGACTCCTTGGGAAATCATCT